TTTCCAAGAGTGGTCCACTATGCACCTCACGTCTCAATGAGCCATATGTCTTCAAGTCCAAATCCAAGGGTCATGAGATGATGACCACCATACGCTTTAGTCAACAGGCGTGTAGATGATCACAAAAATCAAAAGGGCTTGCAGCTTAATGGGCTTCAGAATTACCAAAGATACCTCCTAACTTGGGCCAACACCCCCCTGGGTTATTCTTTTTTCTCTTTATATTTTCCATTTAATTATTTTACTATTAATTATTATTATTATTATTACTTAATTAACTTAATTAATATTTTTCATAATAAATTCAGAAAACTAAAATATAATATTTATTATTATTATTTATTATTTATTAATTTCACCCTTAATTTATTATTTTTGTAAATAAATACTAACATAATCAATTTAGTTTTTTTAGGTTAATTTCAATATTTTCACAATAAATAAAATCAACATAGAATTAGGGTTTTTGATGACTTTTGATCATGTTATTTTTATTTTTATTTCTTTAAAACATAAAAAAAAACTCAAAAAAATATTTCTTTTATTTAATTAATTAATTAGCTTAGGTTTAATTAAGTACAAAATAGCGAAAAACTCTTTCTTTCTAAAAAAAAAGGGTCAAAACCCTAAGAACTTCTCCGATTCAATTTTTTCTTACGTGCGATTATTCTTGATTAATTTTTGATCCATATTATGTAATTGCTCCGAGGATGTAATAGCTTTAATTAGGACCTTTTTATCGCTCTCATTTATTTCCCGCAATTTACTTTTCAAAGGTTTGTTTTTGGCGATGTAAATACCCGACACCTTATAATAGCGTAGATTTATTTTCCGCAACATTTAACTGCTAGATGTATGTTAATTAGGCTATGCATGACAAGACTTCTCTGAAATTAAAATCAATCGTAGCTCACCATAACCTATACAAAGATAACTTAACTGAAACCTGACACACTCGCACATGCCACTCCTAGGGTACGCCTCACTTGGTTGCCTCGACGTGGTCATTGAGTATAGGGTGTTTTAGAGGTCGCCCTCCTGTCTAAAGATCAAAGTTGCCTCGAAACGGTTGCCTTGATAAAAAACGATCTAAGACACTAGGGTTATCGCTAAGGCGTCCTACTATTGCTTTGGTGACCACATGTCCCTATAATCGAATTGACCCGAAAACTCCAACGACGGTGCTACCTACTTCTCAATAGTGGGATAGTACTGTCTAAAGGACATTTACACAGCTTAATTTCTTTTGAGTAGGTAGAGGTTCTCAGGTACTTGCTCTTTCAAAAAACAAAAATACTTTTCGCACCTACACTTTTCTGACAAAAGTTTTCAAATAACACTTCATACACTCTTGAGGACAGATACAAGAGTTAAATCGAAGTTTTCAAACAAACTTTTTTTCAAAACCCACAAACACAAGAAAAGCAAAACCTTTTGAAAACATAGTGAGCAAGTACCTAAGAGCCCGTGGATAACCACGGATAGAAAGGGTGCTAACACCTTCCCTTTCTATAATCTACCTCCCGAACCCGAGAAACATCTCGAAAAGGAATTTTGCTGTGCTTTTGTCCTTTCCTTGTTGGATAAAATAAAAGACGGTGGCGACTCTTACTTACCGCGACATTTTGCGAAACGCAAACGTGAACCAGCATTCCAAAACAGTCAGTTCTCATTCCCACCGATCACAACCACTAATGATGTTTGTATTAAGAGTTCAAAGTAAAGAAAACTTACCTTGAAATTGAAATTTGTGTTTTGATTTTGAGTTGGAGAAGTCAAGTTGCAAATTGCTGTTTTTGAGTTTAGAAAATAATGATGTTACAGAAGTTGTTCTTGAGTTTGAACAACTTCTATATGATGTATGTAGAGTGTTTAGATGGTTTGTTTGGACATAAATTGTAAGGTGTGAGAGGTTCAAAGATCTGGACTTCAAAACTCAAGAGTAGAGGTTTTATGGACAATTATGTTTTTTTTGTGAGTAAAGGGGATTTTGAGGATTTTTCAACACACAAGAATCTCTCTATTTTGCTGACCTCTCTCTCTTGCACATGCTCCCTCTATTTATAGACAAGAGGTTTATGAGCAAGAGCTGATTAGATTTGCAAGACAATATGTTATGGTTTGGTTAAGATGTAAATATCAAACTATGTTAAGTATTCCATGGTCCCAAGATGAAGTACCAAAATTGCTGGTATAGAGGAGCTACTCTTCATAATTTATGGTGGAGTATAATCAGAAGTAAGCAAGGTATGGGCTCAAGACAATTTTTTTTAACAAAAAGCTTGCTTTTCAAGAATAGCAACGATGCCTTTATGCCATAAATGGAAAGATCTTTTGGACAATGGCTCAAACACTTGGGTAATAGCTCAAGAGTAGGTGTAAGCATTAAATTATGATGAAATTTGCAAGTTAGAAGGCCTGCAACACAAGATTATGCAGCATAACATAAAGATTGGATTATGTGTTCTTCACCACCATGACTTGTAATTCAAGAATGGATACCCAACTTCATGCCTTTGAATCTCATAGCTCAAGTATGATAAATTCATGCTCTTGGATATTTTGGAAAGTTTGAAAAATTATCTACAACTTTTATGTTGACTATTTTGGATAAATCAAATTGGAACTTGATGAAAATTGGCCAAGAAGTTGAGATAAAAAACTGACCAAAACCTGTTGAAAATTTCTCTAAGTGTTAGATGAAAATGTCATGACTTCAGGAATTTATAACTCAAAATCTAAGCAATTCTAGGACTTGATAAGTAAAGCAAAGTTATAGATCTCATCAAGATCTACAACTTTCACGTTGAAAATTTTCTTTGAATCATCTTGCATCTTGGTGAAAGAATGTCATGAAGTAGTGAAATTATCATGTACACAAACACTTAGAAAAATTTCCAAGTCTTGAAAAGTTTGACTTTTCTCATTGACTTTTGACTTTCTTGATTTCTTGATGATCAAGCTTCATATTTTTGAATGTCTTGATGAATTGTGATCTTTGAAACTCAAATTTGACCAGAAAGCTAAAGTTTGACTTTTTGGTGTACAGTTGACTTTTTTATCCGTTGATCAAATTTCAACTATCAATCCATTGATCTTGAGAGATGAATTGAATCATGCAATTAGGTCAATATGATATATTTAAATCCTTGAGATTGTGCTTCAAGTCATTAGGTCATGTATTAGGTCAAAAGTTAATGATCAGTCATTCTCAGTCAAAACTTTAATTTGGAGTCTCAGTGTTTCAGAGGAGATTTTGTCTGATCAATTTTTTGAGAATCCTTGAGCATTGGAGATCCTTTGTGAGGAATGTCTTGAAAAAAGAGAAAACAAATTTTGAGGTACAACAATTAACATCCATTGATAAGATTAATTTAATAATGAGTTTTTGGGTTAATCAATTGGGCTGAGATGCTCTGGCCATTACCAAGGCACCAAATATTTTGATGTTAAGTTTGAAAAAAAAGATCATTCCGAGGGCCATAGTTGTGCAATTTCTTCTCAATAACGGTTTGAGAAATAAGAGTGCAAGCTTAACTTCTCCGTTTTTGGTGCACGAGAAGTAACTTGTCCATTTTTGGTGCACGAGAAGTTGGTTCTTCATACGTTTATAAAACGTTTTGAGAATGAGTCTTCTTATCTACTAGAGTTGTATGAGAAAACACTCAATCTTGCATACACCTCGGACAAACACATGTATGTCATGATTATATGTTCAGGTATTTTAGTTTTAATATGTTATTCTTGTTCCATATTTGATTTGAAATTTGTTTGATAAAGACTTTGATTGGAGCAAGTTTAGCTTAATTTGACAAAAAAATTTATGTTCTTCCAATTTGTGCACTCGGAATGTAATTTTTTTTGGGTCATAAATCTCACCTATAATGGAAGAAGTTTTGTTGATTGAAGCAATATGAAGAAAATATTGATTCTTCTATGCAACAAAATCATTGTTCAGATGTTGATATTAAGATGCAAAGAGTGCTTTTGATTGAAATCGATATGGAAGAATAAAGAAAACAAGAATTTATATGTTGTATTTGGTTTAACAAGAAATAAGTTATAAACTTTATTGAATTACCATTGCTGCGTCATTTGATTTGTTGAAATCATCTCCCTTATGTCTTATTATTCTCAGTATCTGTATAAACCCATTGCAGGTTCACACAATTTTCTGAATAATGGCGTTTCTGCTACTGCAATAGTTTCACCATACGAATAGTTGGAATAGTAAAAAACATAAAGATAAATTCAACAAATCAAATAACTTAGTCTAATATATATTACTGCAGCAGTCCATATTTTCTTCATCAAACAAAGTGAAGAAACTGTAAAACAGAATCAGGAAGTAAGCTGCTGATCCTTATCTGAACATAAAGACGACAACAAATTATTCCATAATTTTTTTTTGCAGCAGTCACCCATTACATTTCCCAGCTAAATATCTAAATATACAAATATCAACATTTAAGTCATTCCAGCTTTGTCTTTGTTTAACATTCAAGCAGCAAGGAATAAGTGAAATATGAACACTCTTATATTTCAAATTCCTTAAAGCTCTAATGGTCTTTGATATCTTCGCCAATTCTCCTTTATTTCTAAGCTGAAGGCCCAAAATCCCATGAAATTATTTCAAATCACAAGAAAAAACAAAAAAATTGAGATTTATATAACTAATAACTAAAGATCCAACACAGTGCATACTAAAAGTACAAAGGATGAAGGATGGTTAATGAACATTTCTAGCAAAGGCAGCAACAACGGCATGGCCATTCAGCTAGGTGACAGATAAGCATTGGATATTAAAGAATCTGTACCCATGCTTCAATCGTTTAGAAAGCATCAAATAGTCAAGTCAATTGCAACTATAACAGGAATTGAAGAATACATCCATGAACAAGGGCTCCAATTTCCAATCCAGCCATAATGAAACAATACAGTTAATCAATTGTAACTTAGGACGTTGCATTACACAAACCTTGCGCTTACAAGATAACCATTCAATAGCTTACAGACGCTTCACCATTTTCCTTGATTTTCTTACCATCCATTTTTTCCTGGTATAGCTTTAACAAATTATGTCTTTCTTCTTTAAAACTTTGCACATACTTTTCAAGAAACACCTCTTCCTTAACACCAAAAGGGGTAGACAATTCCACATTATTTTTTATCAAACCTTGGGAGATCAGATACGAAACAACACAGGCCCTCGGAATGATCCTATTCTCCAAACTATACGAAAAAATATCCGCCCTTTTGACAAGGGCTGAAGAGTTCCAGCCCAACTCATTCACCCAAAATCTCATGATATTATCAATTTTCTCTGCGGATGTTAGCATAAACAAGGGTCGCTTCCTAAACGCTTCTAGAACCATTTCATCGGACCAACCCCATGTCTTAAAGACAATAACTTTAGCATCCCACTTAGATTTCGGCATAGCCCTTTTGACTAACAATGCTATACAAAAATTTACTTTGGAAGGATCATTAAATCCCATATTCTTAACCATATCCAGAGCACTCCTCATGTCACGAATCAGAAATATAGAGGGTGTTTTAAGTAACAGATATCTTATATTTGAGTCAGTGACTCCATGATCAAGCAACAACTTCACATTACTAACAAAATTATGATAACCAAAGAAACATCTAGATTGAAAAACTTTCTGATTAGATGGAAGGAACCTTCTTACCAATTCAAAAGTAGGGATTATGCAATTGTCAAGACTTGCATATAGAATTCTAGGGCTTCTGCACACAATCTCCACTACATCAGAATTTGAAGCACCTTTTGAGAGTAAAAATTGAAACTTTGGCAAAATTCTTTTGTGGGGGTCACATGTAAGAATGTTGGGTGCTTGTCTAACAAGGTTGTTTATCTGAGAATCGGAGAAACCAAAGTCTGTGAGGATGGCGATTACTGAATCAGGGTTTTGGGAAGCCTTGAAACGAACGAGTTTGGAAGCTCTTGTAGCAGTTTCGAATGAGAAGCCCAAATTGGTAACGAGATATGAAACTGTGAATTCGTTTGGTGAAGTAGTTGAACAGTGACATTTCAAAGAGAGAGTAGAATTGAAATTTGGGATTGGATTTAGGGTTTTCATTTCCAACATTGGAAAATTGAAGAAAGATTGCAATACATTAACACAACTTGTAACCATCATTTAAAAAAAAAAAACAAGATCTGGATATTGTTGTACTTCAAACTAACCTTAAGAATCAACTGTGATTGGGAGGGACTGAAACCACTCAATCTCACTAACTTCAAATTCAACTAAACCGAAATACTTTTTAATATGGATTTCTAATATAATTTAAGGCATGTTTGTTTTATTTTAAAAAAAGAATTTAAATAAAATACACTTATAATGTAAGAAGTTTTATATTATTAGTAAATCATAATCGTTAGATTATAAATTATATTTTATTTTTATTTTAATTATTTATTAAATGATATTAGTGGGTAGTTGTGATGTATTAACCGTATAAAAAGTTTTATAGTGACAATGCATAATAATTTATCTCTAAAAATAATTTTTTGCTGTATTTTTAATAATGAAAATTTTATAAAATTGTTTTTTAAAATTTTATGAGTTTTTTATATTTATTTTTCCTAAATTTAAAGATAATTTTGACATCCTATTACATAAAATTCATTATTGAAAATCAAAATATAAATAAAATTGTAGTTTTTTTAAAAAGGTATATCTTAAAAATAATTTTTATGAAAAGTTATTTAAAATAGCTTTAAAATTAAATAATTTTTTAAAATTTTGATATTAAGAAAACATTTCAATATAATAATAAAATATCTAAAATAACATTTTAAAATTAATTATTCGAACTCAATTTTCATTATAAAAATTATTTTAAATAAAACCAAAACAAATGGACCCTTAACACTAGAATAATAAATTGAGATTTAATATTGTAATTAACTTTTTAATTTATTAAAGTAATTTTATCTTGTATCAAATAAAACTGATTTGGATGTAAGAATAAAAATATACTAATATGTTTATTAATGCCTCAAAAAAGGGAGACACATGTTATTCGTTGAGTGCCTCTCCTAGGAGGCGTTACCCACGACGTGACCGTTAGGTGGCAAGAGGGCTCTCCCCACATGGAACCGTGGATAATACAATTTATTCATTTCTTGAATGTATCACTCACCTTCGGAAAATTTGAAATTGTCTCTTGACAAAATGATTCGAATCACATATTGTACTTTATTTGAATCATAACATCACTTGATTCAAATCATGTGTTATCCTTTATTAGAATCATGAAACTTGAAAATGCCCCTTTAGAATCTGTTCAAATTGATTCAAATCATACCTTCTTCTTGATTCAAATCACGTGTATTAAAATCAAATTTTCTATCTTTCATTTAAATAGTTGTTTCTTTTGATGAAAGTAAGAAGAGTGTGAAACATATGGCAATATCCATAGAGACAAAAATGTGATTTAGTCTTTTATTCTTTGTGTGTTCATTTCTATCATCATGATTCTTTCTCTTCTTCACCGCTACAACTTCTTGATCATGAATTCATTCTTTTTGTTGCATCTTGTTTTTGTGAAATTTGTCATTGTGTTTGAGTGAATTAGAGATGGGTAGTTGATTAATCTTGTGTGTGTCCATGGTTAATCGGTTTTTTGATAACAATCAAAACTAAGACATGTTCATCTAGAAACTTAAGAGAACATTATTTGTGTGTTCTTCATCCACCATTATCTAAAACATTTGACTAACACCTTTTGGTTGTAGATTGTTGTGAGATACTCTGGCATTTTTCGTAATCTCCCTCCTTTGTATTGTTCCTTTGTTGAGGGCTTTCATCTCTAAAGATTGCTCACAGACAAAGTTGAGAGTTGTCCAATCAACGCTTGGCTATGTCAATCATTCAGACAAGAGATAGGTGGAATCAGGTGGATTTCCATATATGAATACTTGGAGCATAAGTATTGTGTGTAGAAAGATTATTGGATCAAGATCCTTTAGTGATCTTGACTTTTTGTTAGCAGTTTTAGTGTTTGCATCAACATGGAGAATTATCGTATAATAGTTTGTTGTAATCAAAATGATATAATCAAACTTGTCAAAATAGTGAAAGATTGTGATTATTTTTCCAATGATTTTCAATACCATTGAATATTGGAGTTGACAATGTGAGGATGACAGTCGAACCACTATAAAACATTGTGTATCTTTTCTTCTTCTCTTACCTCTTTTACTTTTCTAGTATCCATTATCATGCTATTACATTGATGCATTTTTACATAGATTGTATACCACATAAGTTAGACTTTGCTTATAACTATTTAATGTATAAGCTTAGGTATGAGATGTATCCATCTTATTGAAGTGTCATGACTTAAACTGTGTCTTGTTAGAATCTATAAGCTATGTGTTTTGAAATAACTTTGTTAAAAAGCTACTTGAGTAGTCTTGTGATTGACTTGCATTCGAAGCAATCAAATGCATAGAGGACATCATGTACCATTTCATATGGATTAATTTATTGAGATGCTTCCAAGCTCTCTTATTTTGTGTTTTATTTTTGCGCTTCTTAACATCTCTGATTTCGTACATAGGACCTAACATTGTTTTTAAAATTTTCTAAGTAGGAAAGGATATATTCAACCCCCTTCTAGACCTATCACTGTCCATATTCTCACCCCAATAATTGATATCAAAGTGGGGCTTTTGATCAAAATCTTGTGACTTTAAAAGTTGAGGATATGGTTACTTCGATCCTAGACGGGTTTTTTTATTCGTTTGGAAGCTTATTCAATGAATTACCAATGAAGTTACATTGATTTACTTGTCACTAATTATTCATTACAATACATTACATAGATTATTTTAAATCAAAACCTTGCTAATATTTTCTTCATACATCAATTGAATTTAAGATATCTTTCTAAGATTTGATTCATCCAGGATTGAACTAACAACATTTTAAGGTATGTGCAATTTTGTATTTGACATCATATCTTGAAGGTTGTTCTGGATTGATCCTAAAAAAAGATGGACATACGCTCACATTATTATGCTGGAAATTATTATGACATAAAAGAAGGAAACAAAATCATCTTCTAAGTGACATACTCTTCTAATGTCTTCATAAAAAGAAGGTGAAGATAGTGTTATGACTACTGGCATTGATTCTCATAAGTTTCAACAATTATAAAAGATTCAAGGAATATAATTGAGTGTTAATCAGTCGTCAAAGATTTGAATAAGTGTTTTAGGATTGACAAGTTGTGTCAATAAGTGATAATTATATTTTCGTTTAGAGTTCATCCAAAGTCTTATGAAAAAGAGTCTGATAAGTATTCTTTAAACGTGCAAGAAGAGTTCTATCTAATTCATATTCTAAAATTTATGTTATTCAAGTTGATTGATTTCTAATCGGTATTGTATGCAGCTAGTTAAATCTTAGATCGTTTAAATTGATATGATTGTTTCAACCCTCCTTTATTTATTTTGAAGTATGCATAAGAGTAATTATTATGTTGCCCAAATGTATTGTGATTCATACATGTTTGTGTATGTGCTCTGTTAGTGCATCTCATTTTAAATCGTGTCACCCATTGCATTCATTTGCATCATCATTACATTCATGCATCCTCATTCTATTTTAAGCACTAAAAGATTTGTGCATTCACATCAAACACATTTGCATTAAAGACCATTTTGAACATTTGCGTTAAAATTGCTCAACTACTTTTATCATGCATGCATCACATTAAAATTGATTTTATCATGATCATTAAAAGGGGTGTTTAATTCTAAGCGAATCAATATTTCAAAGTCTCAAATTTTCAAAAAAATTGTATTTTCAACTTCATGATTCGAATAAAAAAGTTTTGAACTAAACCTGTGATTTGAATCAAAGGTTTGAGATTTGGGGTTGTTGAAATTGATTCTAATCAAATTTTAAATGTGATTCGAATCAAAGTCTCTTTCACTTAAAAATAAAACACTTGATTTGAATAATTTTTTAAACGTGATTTGAATCACAAATTGAATGGTCACACAAAATAACCATTTCAGTCCAGTTTTCTTTTTTTCAAAATCATTTCATCAATCATTTCTTTCTTTTTCTTACAAACCCATATTGAGCAAAATTTCAAAATCATCATCAAACATCACTTTGATCATTCACCTCTCATCTCCATCACCATCACCATGGCTTATGAACTCGGATACAAGGGAAGGTTTGAAAAAAAACAAAAGAGAAGAGACATGATTCTTCTTCTAATTCATCCTCAAATGAAAACATTTCATCTCAACCACTGGTTCCAAATAGAGCATGAACCAAAGTACAGACGAGCAAACTCACTTATGATGCCAAGTTTCCAAAGAAATCAAGTAAGCATGCTTCTACAAAGTCAATTTTTTTTATTTGTGTCGTAAGGTTAGTCATCTGCTACCTAAAGATGGTATATCATGACAAATTTCTGAACAAGCCAGTTGAACTAGAATAATATGTTGATTAATCATGTGAGATTATATGGAAAGCTAAACTTATTATTTATTTTGCTAATAACGATCTGCTAAGTTTTATTGGATTAAACAAGAAATTTAATCCCGATCATGTTAAAGACTTCAATTGTACTTGTTCAGACTTCTATTGGAATTGAAAGCAAATTTAAGAACATGTTGGTTAAGTTTGATTATAGTGATTTTACTGAGCATTTTGGCATGAAGACTTCTGATAATTTTGAATTTGGTGCTAAGGTGAATGAGTTTAATAAGATTCAGTTTGTGTTAAATATCTCGAACATTGTTTCTGAGAAACCCTCTATGGCATATTTTCCAATTAGCCACGTAAAGTTCAACATGAGGATTCTACCTTGAACAATTGTGAAAGTGTTTGATAGGAAACCCGAGAATTAGGGAAGAGCTAACGATTTGGATCTTCACTTGATGTGGGGACTTCTCAGCAATGTTAATTTTGATTGGACTTATTTCATCATGAATAGGATGATCATTTGCAGGGATAATTAAAATACACTTGTTTTATTCTTCATTTTGTGTATATGATAGTGGAAATCAATGGTATTGTGTCTAAGGAAGAAGACTTGGTAGGTGCTTCGTTGATTATGGACGAGTTTGTGATTTCTAAAATGAGATATTATATGGATGGTGTTGGTG